GCTGGTAGTCATCCTTTGTCGGAAGTGCTTCTCTAGGATAGCAGGTCGGGCCCGCCCTGCGCCCCAGGCCATCCCCGTGGGGCCAGACCCGCGGGGCCCGCTCGAAGTTGGGGCTCCATGAAGGGCCCCCCCCCCCATCGGGCACTTCGGTCCGCGGTCTGCTAAACGTTCGCATCCACAGAGCTTTTCTCGATATTTCTCACGACCAGCAATGGTGGCTCTTTTTGCATCCTTCCTTTCCAGCGTAGCCGCGGTCTTGGTGCCGCCTCTTCTGTTGGCGCGGACGATTTTGCAATTTGGTGCGCGGTGTAACCCTTGCCCAGCCCATAACTCGCGTCTTCGCCTGACATATATTGGCGGGCGACCCCGTCGTGATGTTCGCCGACAAGTCTGAGTTGACGCGGGCCATCGGGTTCGCCTGGGCTTGCGTCATCCTGACGCGGGCTTCCCCGCGAAAGTCCCCGTCTAGTCGATTTCCTCGGAGCGCGTGGACGCGGGCGATGATGACATGGCGGATGGTTCTCGGCTTCCCATTCTTCATCATCAGCAAATTCGACGCGCGCGTCTCCACGCCGGGCAGCTCGAATACCGGTCGCGCGGTGCAAAATTGAAGTGAGAGCCTTCAATGTTGCGTTTGAGTTCATATTGAGCACGCTCAAAAAAAAACCTGCGTCGCGCGGGCTGCCCCGCAGAGGATCGTCATCGCAAGTTCCCCTGCGCGCGGGCCCCCCAGTCACCTGCGGTCGGAGCGCCAAGTGGAGCTGCTCCACCATTGCTGGCATAGTATCATCGGAGTGCGCAGGCGCCACCGCCATCTCGCGATCCGAGTCGGCGGGCACGCGGCAGTCCTCGATGAACTCTATGAGTGCAGGTTGCCCCACGGTAGGACTGCCCAGCCAGTCTGCAAAGTCGATCTCATCGCGGCCGACGTAGATCTCCACGAAGCTCGTCGGCGCACCTCTCGAGGGATACGCTGGCGCTCAGATACCTCGCGGACGCGAGATGGACAACGGCCGCTGGGTCGTCTTCCGATTCGGCGAGACGATTCCCAATCGACGTGCTGAATGCTGGAATCGGTTTGAGCCAAGTGCATCGACGGCCCCCTGCGGTTTGAGCCAAGTGCATCGACGGCCCCCTGCCATCCCCATCGCCCTTGGGGCATTCGCGAAAAAATACTGGCTACTATGGCAGATCTCACATTCCATGGTTTTACCGCTGGCATCTTTCGGGTTGCCCCGACGCCCCTTGCCCTCTCCTGTGGCGCGTCTACGGCCTCTACCTTTCCCCATGAAGATCTCCTCATACTGTGGCCCCATAAGAGTGCCAGCAATGTTAGCATGCCTCCGTCATGCAATCTCCGTCGTTTACACCCGCCTTTACCGTTGCGATTTGACCTGGCCGCCCGTCGGACTGCGCGACGCACATTTCGGACTGGTTTCTTCCTGACACGTCTCCAGCGGCGCTTGCGCTTCTGGTATCCTAAGAATATCAACTGCGCCTGATGCTCTTCAGTAGTGAGATGCACGGGCATGTTAGAATAATCCAGGTTGCCAATTCCCTCATCGGATGAAGCGTCAGCGCCGGCGCCAGAATCAAACTCGGACTGCGCGGGTTGCCCCGCCGAGCCCGCGAAGGCAATGGCTTGGGCAGGGGCCGCCGTTGCCGACGGCCCCTGGCATCGAGCCCAAGAGTTTTGCGACCCCGTGGGCTTGCCGCCTTGTTGGCGTAGTAGAGTGGTAGCCTCGTTTGGTTGTGGATCGTCATTCCAAGCGTTGTTGGCAGGTTGCCCTGCATGAGTGTCGCCATGACAGACGTCAGCGCGGTGGCCATGGCTGAAAACACCACCAATGTTGCCGGGGGATCGCTCGGCAATGTGGGCGTAAGCCCTCTTGCGCTCTAGCAAGGCGTCAAACTGTTGCTGCGTCCTTGGGATTTGGTGGTTCAATGGTTGTGGTAGCTGCTGCGCGCGCGATGTGCCAGCACCTAGAACTCTCAACAATAAAGATGCTAGGATCTGGAATTTGTCGACGTTGAAATCCGCGGCGTCGGCTTCGAAGCGCGCTATCTCGAAGCGGGCCGGCGCCTGGTCGATCCGTTCTCCCGCGTGGACGCGAAAGTCTATGAGGGCCGTCCCCAAGTTGAGCTGGCGTTCCCCTTCCAGGTTTTCGAACCTAGTGCTGAGGCGGAACGTGATTTAGGTGGCGCCATCGGTGCGGCGACCACCGAAATCAACACCGAAGTTAATTACTGCGGGGGGGGGGGGGGGGGCTCTCATGGCCATGGTCCTTCCGAGCCCTCCTCCCAGACCACGCTGCGGAGCGGCAGCCTGTTGGGGGGGGGGGGGAGGGGTGATAGTGCCTGTGGTCGCGTTCATCCAGGCATGTACCTCGCGAGCGAACTCGCGAAAAAGGTACGTTACGACAGGGCCCCAGTGGGGGTCGGTAGTGCGCGCGTCGTCTCCGCCGCGCTGCATGCATCCAACAGCGCGTCCGATTGCGACCAATAGAAGGCCAACTATAATAATGCCAATCCAATGACCCCGTAGGTCTTAGTCGGTTGTATGTTGCTGTTGCTTGCGCGGCGGCGTTACCGTCAGCTTGCGCGGGGGTGGAGGCGGCGCAATGTCGTATCGCACGTTGCCATGCATAGTGTGTCCGAAGAAATTATATGTTGGAGTAGGTGGGTTGACTTCAGGAATGTAGTAGCGCAGAAAGGAAATATTCAAGTAGGACACCTCCGCGTGGGCAGAGGCATCACCGCAAGTGTCTTTGCTACTGTGCGTGCGCAGATACCTTCCTCGGCGCAGAACCACTGCACCCTGATGATCCACCATGTCGGTAGTCCACCAGATAATGCCGTGGATGGTGAGGAATAAAGCGATAGCTGTCCTCCACAGGACAACTCCGCTACTAAGTTTGAAGCTGGTCGGGAGGCCCAACCACATGCTTCGTCTAATGCGAAGCCCATATCCGACTCTGTTATACACTAGTGACGATCGTCCCAAAAGCAGGAAAGAGTCGGGGGAGCGACGAACCATGTCGAGCGAGCATGTATTCGGTCCCACTGGCAAATCGTGTGCCTCACGATGAAGCGAAAGCATATCTTGGCGACCGGCCGCTTGAGCACAGACGGCCGCGGACAAACTCGCTACTTCTAGCCTTTGCCCAACCTCCTTTAAAGTCCCTCCTCACTCCGTTCCCTCCTCACTCGTGTCTGCTGTTGAGGGTTGGCGCGTAGCTTGCTACATGCCTCCAGGAGGCCTCAGATCCGCTGCAGGGCGGAACCAAGTGACCACGAATCTCCCCAAGAAGTTCCCCAAGAGGCCCCCCATCAGGACCAAAGAGGCTCCCAAGTGGGCCCACGATGGGTTCCAGAGCGTCAGCGTCGTCGTCGACGTCGCCGCCGCCGTCGTCGCCGTCCCCTTTCAGGGTCGGCGGCACCGACCGTAAGGCTTTCGCAATGTCAGAATTTCACGGAGCGCGCTCAGATACATCTGGCATGCGTGGTTGAGCAAAGATTGTGATGATTTGTTGTTCGCATTCTGGAACGCGTTCGCTTTGGAGCGGATTTGACATGTGCGCGAGCATGTGGCCCGCGTTGTAATATGTCATACGGTCTGGGCTCACAGGAACGCACCGAAAAGGTCACATCGAATCCTCTGAATAGAGTTACGTGACAGTGATGAGCGGGGGTGTCAAAAAAAGGAACAGGCTGCTGGAAAATTATGTGATGTTGGTCGTACAGAAGATCTATGCAACGTCCAATGCCTGGTGGTGGAAAGGGGGGTAGTCTGGATTCAGAATCGGGATAATTACGGCCCCATGGGTGCGACCCTGCGAGCGGGCCCCTACGCTCTATTGCCAGAACCTTGTGGCCAGGACTGTGAAGCTCGGACCGTACAGTCGGGGTCCTTCGGGCAGGGCCCTGTGGCCAGGACCGCAATGCCAGCATTCTCTGGCTAGCCTGCCGCCGAGACCAGACGTTCGGTCAAGATCTTGCCGGGGCCCACCGCCGGGGCCCAATGGGCGCCCACGGGCTCAGTGGGCGAAGACTGGGCAAGCTCGTCCGCCGGGACCGTGTTGGCGCCCACGGCGCGGAGACCACGTGGGCGGGCGCCCACAGGCCCGGCGGCGGAGATTGGGCTACAGATGAGCATGTGTGAGCTCTGGTTCGGGAACTCTGGGGAAGTCATCACAATCCTTGTTTCAATGTATGTTTCTGGCCTACTTGGTGCAACTGGGACCGTATTGCGAGCCTGTCGAGCCACCTTGTGGCACCTCAGGGGGGAGCCCGTCTTTCTAAGATTGCAAAGCTAGACCCCCCCTGAGAGGAATACATCTGGGTGGGTGGCGCATTATATTGTGTGACGTTGGGACTTCTGGCCCTTACGAGCGACGCATCACATGGGCCTCAGGTAACGTCACATGGCCGTAATATTGCTCAAGACGGCCCAAGCATACCCCGGGAGAAGCTTGAGAGAAGCCGAAAGAGAAGCCTAGAAGGAACTTAGATGGCAGAAGAGGCCCAAAAGAAACCTCAAGCCCTGTACTGCATTGAAAAATCCCCACGACGGTCTCAAGATCGCCCGAAAAGTGCCACGAATGCCCGGGAGGGCCTCAAGAGCACTTGGGACGAGGAAGAGCTCCACGAATGGCCAGGAACACCTTGCTGGAGAGGACGAGGGGGCGGAGGTGGAGGACGCCCTATGATAGGAGACTCTCGCGCTGGCTTCTGCCTTGCGGTGCCGCCGCAACTCCCGCTCTGCGGGCACACCGGCACACCATCACTGCTTCAGAAGAGACACATAGAGTTGTGCACAGACTGCTGCCAACGTTCGGCGCTCTCTAGTGTGAAAAACCTGATGCTATCCACCCCATGCGTTCCCTCTCACTTTCCTCCTGTCCACCAGCCATCCGTCCACCTATACACCTGCCCATCGCCTGACGGAATGCTTTGCTTTGGAAACCCATTGTTTACCTAGAGAGGCATGCTTATTGCACCGGTGGTCTGTCTCGGTGACGAGGTCCGTGGCATTGCTCTTCGTATCCTGAGCGAACGCCAGTGGGGCCAGACTAAAGAGACTGCAAATGCGACAAAAGCAGAGCAAGTGTAGCGAACAACAACACCGGACAACAGAAATTAAGCTTTGAACATGGGACGCTCAATACGAAACGAAGTGGCTCGACACACCTGCACCCGGAGGGAATGACAGGTGCAGACGGGGTACACACAATATCAAAATTTCAAGTCAAGGTCGTCAGCATCATATGCGAGATGCTTCATAAGACTAAATGTGTGCAGTGGATGGGGGCCACATGACGCGGGAGGCAGACGAACATGAATACGAACACAGCTTGGTTAGACTACCATGGTTCATGGACGACACTGCGCAAACACTTAACATTCGTAACGCGCAACCTGAAGTTCACATCTGCATTAGTCTCATGATTATGTCTCCGAAGGCTTCGAAAACACAAGGAACAATAACATGTATAAGCGCGAAGAGAGCAACCGTTCTGGTTTTCAAAGAACGGCAAGGGCATGTGCGCGACCCTTTTTGAAGTGCTGAACTTCGGGATCGCAGGTGCTCGGAACTACCTACTGAGCAAGATCTATCCAAATGGCTCGTCAATCTGCCACCTCCGAATCCGAACCCTCTTCTGCTCTGACCTCTGCCTGTCTCTACCCCTTCCCCAAAAAATCGCACTGCACGGACCAAACCAGCTACATACTGAAAGCACCATGATGCTCCTTATCTTCGTCAACCTCTGCTTTCGAAAAACACCAAAAACCGGGCGTTCGTGGAAAATGAAACGGGTGATGAAGAAACGCCCGCGTCTCCAGCCTCTTTGTGGAGCTCGCGGTGGCAGTTCAGAGAAGGCTTAGGGCCCCTTCGGGGCCACGTTTCATCCTCGATCCTCCCCCCCTGTGTCCTGCCGCCCACGCTTAAAACAATTAAACATGCATAAACACTAACGTCTGGAGGTCCGCGCGAAATTCTCGGATCGGCGCTGGGCCCCCCTCCCTGGCGCGCGGAGCGCGCCAGGGCGCCGGAGGCGCCGCCAGGGGGCCCCTCGCCGATCTGAGAAATCCGTGCGGAGCTCCGAAAGTTTATGTTCATGTTTCTGTCTTCGGGTATTGCCGCCCCCACAACCAAGCGCCCAAAAAAGAGAAAGGGCGTTCGAGCCACAGAAGATGTGCACGGACCCGCCTTCACCACCCCTGTGGTCTGCCAGGCGGCGATGATCTGCTCGCCTGGGCGGACGGGCAACACATGAGAGGGCAGATCGGCACGGCAGCCTGCTTGGTACCGCCAAATGGCCGCCGAGACAGCCCAATCTCCATGAGGGTCCTAGCAGGCCCGAGGAGAAGCCTTCCCCACAAGGTGGCTCCCAAGACCTCCAAGGTGCCCCCAAGAGAACTTCAGGAGGCCCCTAAAAGGCCCCCAACACTTCCCAACAGGTCCCCTTTTGAGCAGGATGTGTTTCCCAGGTGGGCGCACGGCACCAAGACGCTTCGACGAAAATTCCCCCCCAGAAGAGTGGCATCAGGTGCTTCCATGCATGCGGCGGTGTGTCGCAAGCCAATGAATCACCAGCCTGCTGAACGCCAGCATCGTGTCGACGCGCAAACGCCAGGCTCTGAGAGCCCTGCCTCAGCACTGGATCCTGTAATTGCAGGTGTCGGGGAACTGTGCCTGAGTAATCCAGCATGGTGCAGAAGCGCGGCGGAAGAATGAACACATATATCTCTGTAGCTTTCTCACCGTTCTTATATTCGCTGCCCTATCTGCCGTCCACGCTGTGGCTCTTCGGAGTCGGAGTAAGCGAGGCGATAGCGACAGGATTAGAAGAACATGGTTGCCAGCCTGAACGCTGGCAGTCAGCCATTACACTAACGATGTGTAAGCTCTGTGGTGCAAGACACGTGGGGAAAGCTGCGTGATGTAATAGTTATGGCACAAGATATGTGGTGCCATACCTGAGGTTCCCACTTTGTGGTGTAAAGTGCCGACTATGTGAAGTACCCTATGTTGTGAAGCAGGTGTGAGCTATGTCGGACAAGCAGTGTGGCACCAGCCATGAGGTGCAAGTACATAATGAATGGTGTAACATGCTTGGTGTACGCAGAATAGCCTATGTGACATAAGTTATGTAGCCCCCCGCAGTTGCGGGTAAGAGTGAAGGAGCGGGCGCGGGCTGGAACGCGGATGAGTCGCGGGTCGTTCGCGGGGTGTGTGCGAGGAAGACGACAACAAGAAGCAACCAGCAAATGAACGAACCAGCAGCAACAGCAACAACAACAGCAGCAGCAGCGACAACAACACCAACAACATCAACAACGACAACAACCACAACAACAACAACAGCAACAATACCAGCAACAATCACTTTAAGACTGGTCGTTCTTACTTACACACGTGTCTTCATTCTGTATACCCCAACCCTCGATACCCGCACGCTTCGTGCTCGATCAAACCCCCTCTGGGGGTGGAATATCTTCCTCGTCGGCCACAGACTGAAGTGCGAGAAAATCTCGAGCGAGAGCGCCGTTCCTGAGTCCAAGGGCCTCTCTAGCCAGGGCCTCTCGGAGCAAATCGTCAGGAAGCATCGAATGGGAGCCCTTGTCGTCGTGGCAGGGCCTCCGCCAACTCGATTGAGTTACGTACGAAAGCGTCTTGAACGAGACCGCCGTTCCTGACTTCGGAGCTCTCTGGGTTTGGCCTCTTGGAGTAAATCATGAAGAAGCATCGAGCGGGAGCCCTTTTCATCGTAGTTTGGACTCCCCCAGCTTGACTGAATTACGAAGTAGTCTCGAGAGAGACCGCAATTCCTGAATTCGTGGGCCTCTCTGGCCTGGGCCTGTCGGAATAGTTCATGAGGAAGTACCGAGCCTGAGCCCTTGTCGTCGCAGCTGAGCCTTCAACAACTCGACTGAATTACGTGGATGTCTCGAGCGAGAGCGCCGTTCCTGGCTTCGGGAGCCTTCCTGACCAGGGGCTCCCGGAGTAGATCGTGAGGAAATATCGAACAAGAGCCCTTGTCGTCGTGGCTGGGCCTCCGCCAACTTCATTGAATTGCGAGGACATCTCGAACGAGAGCGCCGTTCCTGAGTTCGGGGGCCTGGCCGGCCAGGGTGTCTTGGGGAAAACTGTGAGGAAGTGTCGAACAGGAACCGTCGTCGTCGTAGCCGGACCTTCAGCGGCACACATTTACAATCAAACCTGCGCTCGAGCGGGAGCCTCGCTTTCATAGAAATTGCTGCCGGCGTCAAAACGAGAGCGCGCGGAACCGTTTCTGGGGATCAAGAACAATTTTAAAGAATCGAGAATTCAACAACAGTCCGTTTAAGACTGTTCGTTCCTGTCTGCTCGCGTGCCACTCGACTCGTAGGTCCCAAACCCTCGGTAACCGCCCTCTGGGTCTGCGGTCGTGCCCCTTTGGGGGTATATCTTCCTTACCTGCCATGTGCATTTCGCCCAGGTCCTACACCAGGGGGAGAAAGGACGGATGGAAAAGGGAGGGGGAAAAATGGAGCACGAGAGAAAATACCAGAAGAGGCTCGGAACAGAAAACACGTGGTAGAACCAAACGGGCTGATCGGGCGGGCGCACCATAGCGGGCGGGTCGGGAAGGCGGGCCCAAGAGGCCACGTCAAGCAGGCGGGTTGCTGAAGCGTGAACCCTGCATGAATCGCGAGCAACTCTCGAACGACAGCGCGATTCCTGGAAACTGAAGCGGAAATGCCAAAGCGAGAGCATGATTCCTGAAAGTCGAGGGCGCGGTGTTTGAACGAATTGGAAAAATGTCCTGCGTAAATTGTGAGGAAGTCCCACGCGAGAGCACGATTTTGAAATGACACGCGAGGAAACAATTGTAGCCTGGCTGGGGGGGCAACGGCACAATTTGAGCAAGAAAACGATCCCTGATAAAATAAGTAGGAGCCCCGACAGGGGCAAGTCATAGGATGGGGGTGGCTAGCGCCACTACGCCGTAGGAGGGGGGGGGGGGCGTTTTCCCCGCGTGGCAAGATGGCGAGACTTGGGGAGGTCGCCGCCCCGACGTCATAGGATGGAGTGGGTGCCTTCCCGCGTCATAAGACGGTGAGGCTCGGGGGCGTCGCCGCCCCTACGTCTTGGGATGGCGGGGGGGGGGGGGGGGGGGGCGGCCCTGCGTCATGGGATGGCGAGGCATGGAAGGGTCGCCGCCCCTGCGTCAGAGGATGGGGTGGATGCCGCCCCTACGTCATAGGATGGTGAGGTTTTGGGGGGTCGCCCTCCTTGCGTCATAGGAGTGTGAGCGCGCCGCCCCATGCGTCATGGGATTGGGGATAGCGTCGCCCCTGCGTCATAGGATGGCGAGGAGGATGAGGGTAGCGTCCCAACGTCATGGGAGCGCGAGGGTGCCAATCCTACGTCGTAGGATGAAGAGGCTGGGGATGTCACCGCCCCTGCGTCATAGGATGGGGATTATGCAATCCCTGCGTCATAGGATGTAATATGTAGTTTTCCTATGCCATAGGACGGTGATGGATCGCTCCTGACTCTGACGATTTTTGCCTACTTCACTGGGCTGTAGTCTGAGCGCGCAACGGCCATGGAAACAACAGAGAGCGAGACAAAAGGGGAGACAGGGAGAAAACGAACACGCATGGATGGCGTGAGCACATTCGAATTACACATGCAGGCAAATTCGGCCCAGGTTACTTTTGCGAAATATTAACATGCACCACGGATCATGCGTGCTCGCACTCCTCCAGCACAGGCGAGAAACAACCGGGGTGCCAGAATCGCTCGCACCGCGCCATCACAGATGCGCGACAGCAGATGTCGATGGGCCGTGCAAGGGGGGGACGGAAGAGGGGGGAAGCAGCAACGCAAGGATTAAGCATTGGTTGCCCATTTCGCCTTGGCACGAATAAGAGCACGCGACACGCGCGAGAGATAGGGATGCCACAACAACAACCTGGACGCAGCGACTTCGAGGGCCTGCCACGGGTGCTCCAGGCACCGCAATTCGAGAAACAGAAACGCAATCGAACGCTCTGGGTCGACAGCCAGATACCGATCCACACATTGCGCAACCAATCCAATGACACTGCCAATTTTCCCCTGGAGGCAACGATTCGCATGCCAAGCCTGATAGCGAGGGGAAGGGGGGGAGGGGGGGGGGGGGGGCAGAGAGCAAATCGACATTCCGGATATGAGGGCGCAGCTGGGCACAGGGGCCCAAGATGACATCAAAACCAACGAACACTGAAGAATCTTCAACTTTCAGATTCAAGCAAACATGATTGGTTTTGCGGGCGATGCGAGAATGCGCGGCTCCAGTGTGCGCAGACGAGACATCTTTAACGAAATCCCGGGTAGCTGCACTCACGGCTCCGCTTCCCTCCTCATCATTGCCGTGTTTTGCCCAAAAACATCAGATTTCAACTGTGTCATCCGTCCAGCGACAGATGGCGCCATTGACGTGCTGGACATGGGGGGGGCAGGAGGAAGGCGTTGCTTCCGTTCAAGGTAACAGCACACAGCGTTACAAACACCAGGGGAAATATTACTACCCTGGGTCATGCCCTCTCCTGGCGCGAGCAGATCACGGCCAAAATGAAGAAAGCCATGAGACACATCCATCTGCACGATTCGCGTAATGTCGTCGACGTGAACGATAAACGAATCAGACGACGCGACGCGACAATTACGAGGCGTAGGTAGCATGCGATCACCACAACCAAAATTGCGGCAATGGCCCAGGGAACTCCTACAGAAACGCGTGGGCCTCTCGCAATAACGATCGGCTGGCTTCCTACACCGAGGAATATTTATGTATCGACGCCGGGTACCATGCGCGCATCGTACCACTCAGCAACGAGCCAACTCAATGCTTTCGAGATCAAGGCGCGAGGGCATTGTTTAATACATTCTCAATATCTCGTTTGAGCGACACCATCGTAGGCGCGAATCCTCGGTCTTTCCGCACCTGGCAGGCAAGATTGGCAGAATGAAAACGGGAGAGAACAGCAGCAGGATAAGAGACATATATGGAACGAGGACGGGTGGACAAGAACATGAAATTGATGGCGCGACCGCAGAGAGAAAGAAGAAGCCTCTCAAAAAATGCTCCGGTTAAGAACCCAGAGGCCGACTCTTCACAGCAAAGCTAGAAATCTTTGGTCAGCAATCAACATCTCCGAACGCGTGGCTATGCGCGCACCTCGCAGGGGCGCCGGTGCAGCTACAATGCGTCTGGAGTTCC